AATGACCTACACGTGTAAATAACGGAAAAAGAACAGAGAAGGACCGCGAAGTGAAAATGTGAAAATAAATATGAAATTGAGTTGATAACATAATCGAACAAGTCGAGGCAGCTTATTGACGAGAAATTCGCGGTCATCAATGCCAAATAATTGTTTTCATAGACTTCGGAAAGCTAAATGTTGTAATTAATTTAAATAATTTAGAACTACTGGAAACGCATCTGCACGGTAAGCAGGAGTTGCAGGTTCGTGTCCCGCTCTGGGCCGATTTTTTCTTCCAGTAGGTCTAAATTATTTAAAATTAATTAATTAAATTATAATTATAATTATTAAAGTTAATATGAGATGGCGCCTAACGTCTATCTCTAGTGCCAAATTGGTTTATAATTTATGTAATAGCCGTAAATAGCCCGATATCATTCGGCAGTTGTTGATATTTAGATGCAAGTTAAGTTATTTTATTTGCAATCGATCTTTTTAAGAGGTTTGTGACTTTGGAACAGTACGATGAGTAAAAAAAGGTCTTCAGTTTGGATTTACTTTGAAGAAAATGACGAAGATTCGCGTAATGTGCAGTGCAAAGTATGTGATACAAAAATTTCTCGTGGAGGTAAGGGGAAAAAAGCTTCGACGTCGGGTTTGATAAATCATTTAAAGAACAAACACAAGGAGGAGTATCAGAAAATACATAAATCTATCTCAACGAAAGAAAACACAGCGGATGATGTCGTTCCCTGTTCAAGTAAGTCCACAAAGCAATTAACCCTTTACGACTGCCAAGAAAAAACAAAAAAGTGGGATATAAATGACCCTCGGGCTGTGAAATACCATTATCTGATTGCCGAAATGATAGCGATTGATAATGAACCACTGAACATAGTTGAAAGATCTGGTTTGAAAAGATTGTTAAGTGAAATCCTGCCGAGATATGCCATACCGAGTAGACCGTACTTTTCAGAGAAAATAATTCCTGAACTTTATGGAAAAGTAGTAACAAAGATTCAAAAAAGCTTGAAGACACAGATTATATATCAATCACTACCGACTTGTGGACGTGCTTGCAAAACTCTGTCAGTTTCCTCAGTTTCACTGCACACTGGCTTGACAGAGATTTTAACTTGACACATGCTGCACTTAATGTAAAACACTTTGAAGGGCAACATACTGCGCNTATCAAAATTAGACTAGATATAACGGACTTCAAAATCGTACAATTTTGAAGTTAAGTTGTTAATTGAATTATGTTCTTACATGTGAAGTGCTTGCATAATACGTGGATGGCTACGTGGAACGTAAACGCATGTGCTGTAATAGAAATACATAGTATACAAAAATTTTATTCATTTTTAATATACCACGGCCTTTGCTGAACTATGACTTCTGTTTAAATGTGTAATTAATAATTAAAATATACTGTACATATAAGACGAGGTTTTCATTCATTTTTTACCGCTTCAAAAACCTAGGTCCTATATGCGCGAGCGAAGGATTCTTTTCCTTTTTTGCAATAATTTCTGTAAACCATGTATAGTTTATGCTGCCATTATAGGTTTACAGTCTATTTATCATAAGTTGGCACCTACTGTAAACAAATTAAGACTTGCCTCACTGTGTTTATTGGTTTAATCCTATGTCCATCAATTAAAAACCATGTTGCATCTCATTCGTCCGCAGAAAATAGTTCCTCATTATTTAAAAAATTATTAATGAACACAGGTCACTTAGCAATGATTATAAATGTAATTATTTCATATTAGTTAAACTGTTAGTTTTAATGAATATTAGCACATTTTAAATCATTAAAAGTAAACTTTTTCTGGTCATGTGCATTATAATGTTTTGGTTTTATTTTCCATTCATCACATTAAGACAAACATGTTTGTTTGCCTTAATATGTGCATTTGATGGTAATTTATTTGTAATTAAACGAAATAAAATTACAATTGTATTAATAAATCTAATTTTCTTTATTTTGATATTTAAAGTCATGCCTTGTCCTATATGCGAGATTGTCTTATACGTGAGTAAATACAGTCATTTTTACTATATTTCTATTCAATTAGAGTGCCACTGAAAATCGTCCCGTATTCCACAGGTTGCCAACCCCTGGTCTATATTTTCTTTAGATTCTGAGTTAAACAAAAATAATTTGGAGCAGATTGACCAAAAACAAAGTACATAGACACAAACATTTTATATCCTATGTAAAATGGACGAGGAACAGTCTAGTCCAACTGACTAAGCAATTCCAACATTATGTAATTATTCCGAGGAATCGTCTAGCTTAATGCTTCCAATAAAACAGTTCTCCACTTTAATCAGTTCCAGTTCTATCAGCAGAACTGCATCTCTCACCTCTAATTTCCACCTAATCACTGTGGTCCACTTATTGCAGTCTGGAATTGAAAATGCAGAGTTCAAAATACGTTTTAAAATTTAACTTGTACCTTTTGTACTATTTCAAACTTTATTGTAAACTAGTTGGGTAATTCATATGTAAATGCAGATTTAACTGTAAAGAAATCACTCTGTGTCTGGTGAATGATGCAACAAGATGATTAAGCTTGTAAGTCAATATATAATAGAGATAGAATTTTTGGAAATAGGATGTTTGTTTCATTTTCTTATTACTTACCATTACTAAAACAATTGATGGTGTTTGTATCTTTACTGCAGTTTTATTTAGTATTACTCTAATCAATAAAATTTATTCTGTTAAGTTAAAATATACAACTCAGCTAAGATGTTGGATATTTATTTTTAAGGTGAGCTCTGTGTGGCATTCTGGAAAAAAAGTTGTTGGCATGCCATGCTTTGCAAGTAAACCAAGGGTTTCCCACCCTTGACCTAGGGCCTCGGGCATGCACAAATATATCACAAAAATGTGCAAAGTTTAGCATTATGTTATGAATTATCAGGATTAAACATCTGTTTTTAAGTAAACCAAATCTTTAATTAATTTATATAAAAACACTTTCGGCTACTTACATGGCCATCTTCAGCTGATTACAAATACGAAAGATTGGTACAGAATTTTTCATTGACATTACAACTATCAGTATGCCTTGTTTGATGTGCGAGAGTACAAGATTGAGAATGCAAATACTGTATGACATAGTGCCCCACAATCTAACCGAAGTTGGGCTGCCCTCCATTGGGTAAGGTTAAGATGTGTGCAGCTTGAATGAGTACAGACTTATCAGATTAGCTCTGCAAAGTCATAACCTCAATGACAGGTAGAAAGGTTTAAAGGGCACAGGTTTTATTAGAACTACCAGATAGGCATGTAGATGCCTAGATTTATAAATTTTAGATGAAAAATGACAAGTTTAGGTATACAAAGTTTTTTTACATCCAGGACAATTTTGGGTGAATTCTAGGCAAATTTTCACTCTTCCACAAAAAAAAACTAAAATTGCAAAATTTAATAAATAAATATAAGAATTTAGCCAAAAATTTTCAAAATTTAGTACAAATGAATGTGAAAAAGAACATTTTTGGTCGTAGGGCAATGAAAACTTCTGGCCATCATGAGTGTTATTTATAAGTATGCACAGTGTGCACATGTCTTAACAGTGGTAATATCTGTCATATATTTCAACTGGTAATGTTGTACAAAGTACAGTATGCAATAAATGCATTATTTGAAACTGACTGATGTGACTCATGGATTACGTAAGATGACTCACATTTACTAGGAGCAAATACCACATTAACTAAAGAGAACTTGTACATAATACATTTCTTCTTGCTTATTGGTTCACTTTTTTTACTTTGTACATCAGTTACTATTTTGAACTGTTCACTATATTAATAGGATAGCTAAGGTCTGCCTGACATATTAGTTTTACCTTATCCTGTTTATTGGTAACATCTTTTCGAAAGGCATAATTTGTTAATTTATGTACATCAGTTGTTTTCTGTAGTTCTTTATTCAAACTCACCCATTTTTTGGGGGCTGTCCATAAATTATGTAATGCAGATATAGGATGGTGAGTTTTCAGAAATCATTATAATGAATTACAGGGAGATAGAGTGTTTACAAAAACATTACATAATAGTAAAGTCTTTAAGTGAATTGGTGGTGTTTATTAAATATGTGGGAATTAGTCTTGTTGTTATTACTGAATGAGAATATGTAACATGTTGGTTTCTCAGTACTGAACAGTATGGATTCATCAGTACCAGACAAAGATAAAATACATTTTATTAAGAAAAATGATATCTGTGACTTTCATTTTTCCTTTTAAGCCTGTAGTGTCAACCTAAATGATTTACAGAAAATACTTTAACAAATCTCTCCAATCTTCAATGAAACAACCATTAATGAGAGACGAAAAGAGTGAAATTCTAATCTTAACTCTGTGCAAGAAGTCAGAAGAAAGTTTGCAAAATTGATGTGCAACAGGAAGAAGCTAAGAATTAGAAGAAAGTAGAAGTCAAATAGGAAAATGCTAAATTTTGACTTGGAAAAAGAAAAAGATTTAGTAAATTTTATGCTAGAGTCAAATTTTAGGCTCATATTGAATGTCAAGGTCAAGAGAATACGTATGCGATCAGTGGATGTAGATTATTTTGTTTTTGAGAAATATTAAATTTTATTATTAACTTAAAAATATTCAGTGCTATTTTAAGAAGAATTTTTATTTAAATTTCTTGCTATTCATTCGAATATTTAGCACACTAGTAACTTCTAATATCTGTCCAGTACTGAAAAATGTTTTTTATGGTGTACTGAATTTCATGGTATATTTTTCTGTTAGATTTTTATATTTGTGTTTTATTCCACTATTGAAATACATGGCTAATTATAACCTGATTATATTATTTTTATGATTTTCTTATCACTTTTCTACTGATTTCTAAAATCCTTAATGTCCAGTACCGAGTGAACTTTATTGAAATTCATAGTAGTAATTATCAACAGTAAAATACATCAATTGCATTTTACTGATGAAATTTAAAGATTGGATTGTATGAAAGTATTGAATTAATGATTTACAAATAATAACTTTAAATAAAATTGAAAATTACACATTTACTGAAAGAAATGTTTAATTATGTAATCCTTAATTACTTAATCCTTAATTAACTCCTCATTGCTTAATCCTTAATTAGTCATTCAGTTCATTGCAAGATTACCAATTGAATTAAACAATGTTAGATCTGCCATGCTGAACAAGTCAATTTTTTCATTGTGTTTAATTAAACTGTGTGAAATTAATTTTGTTTCTACCTTATTGTATTTGTTCGCAATACGATAGAAACAAAATTTTTATTTTTCATGTAATTTTTGTTTGCAATTAAATTAATTTCATTTATAGCTTCATAAATATTCCAGATAGAATTCACTTTCTGCATAGAAAAGCTCAAAGTAAAATGGTGTTTCAGGTAGATGTAGTGAATGTATTCACCGATAAAGTAGTTGTAACACAGCTGGATAAAAACCCAATGTTATAGTCAGTTTCTAATAAAACTGGCAATGTCATTGTCTTGCTTATTGAGCTGTTTTGTTGTTCATTGATGCTTTACAAAATTCTCGCCTTGCTTTTTCAGATATGTAGAGAGAGTGAGTACTCAATTAAATGTGAAATTCTTTTGCAGCTTTTTGCTTTCCTCTACAGTTATTATGATAGAGAAATTTTCTGCTGTAGACAAAATCTTTAGTTTTTTCATTTGCCATTTCTATCTTCTTTAGAATGAAATGGTTAATACACTAATTTGTCACTATTAGCAATGAAAATGTCAATATGCAGTTCAAATCTCACAGTGAAATTTAAATAGTATGAATGCTCCAAAGAAGAAATTTATATATACATACATAAACATCAAATAACCCAATTTTCAATTAATACCAAATGATCTGCCAGATTGTATTAGGCTGTATTATAGCTACATTTAA